AACTAGGATGGTCATTCTTGTGTTTATATTCATCTACAGTATAATAACTACATATTTGCAAATGGCTTTTTATAAGCAGGGAATCACAGTTCTGTAAGATTCCTGCTCTTAAACAAATCTTTGTGCAGCCAAACTTGGAAATGCCCTGTAATGGGTTTTTTAAATTCTCTCTGATTCTGGAAGTTTTAATTGCCTGGCAAACTGAATGAAACAGGGCATCCCTGAAAAATACATAAAGCTCATTCTATGTCAGATGAATATTCCTGAGTGAACCAATTTAAATTAAGAAGTGATTTGGGTGGCAGGGCGATTTGGGGGGAAGGGCAGAGGAAGGTGGAGGAGAGATTCAGCACTTTCAAGACTCTCTAGTTTACTTTAGCAGTTTTGAGGCTGTGATGTGCCAAATCTGAAACAGACAAAGCCACTAATACCTTCTTCAACCCAGTGTGATCCTGTTTTAGGCACATGATGTGAAAAATCCCTGGTAACCATTAATAAACATTTTCTTTTAGATAACCAAAAAAGTCAGCTGCAACCTTAAAAGTCAGGCAAAATGAAAATAAATAGAAAGTGATAATAATACACCCATTTTCAAACAAATAAAATACAGGGATGTGTGGTAATATTCTCACTGGAATACTGCAGGCTCATCTTGTTGCTGCTACTACAGCTGATGATTTTCTTTCTCTGATGTTAAATGAGGTATAAAACCTGCTATTGCCTCAGCCAACAACAGCTAGCTACTGCCGGTGGTTTACCTGGGAGTGAAGAGGGTTGAGCATTTTTCCTGCACTAAAGAATACACATTTCATATAGTGATTACTACTTCAGACAACATCTGTGCTTTTGGTTTGTACTGCTTCCAGCAATAGACATTTGCTTGGAACATACCTTTTCGTACGGTGAGTGTCAGACATTGAATGTTTCAGTGCCTGGGAATCCTGTGGAGCAAAGGTGCACATTGATACGTGCATGCACACATCCTCACTTTGTAGCTTTGAACGGGTGTTCAGCTTTCAGCTTGTATATCTTAACAGTACAGCAGAAAATAGCCTTTTCCTGCCTTTTGCTTCTCCAAAATAAATTGAAAAGTAAACCTATTTTGTTTCAAATGGGTGTTAGACAAAGATTCAAGAGCTAAATTTACCCCTAAAGGGTTTGTACAACCTGCAAAATTACCAAAGAGAATGTATGAACAGGAATTCATTGGCAGCTTATTCATGGTTGAATTCGCATTAATTTGAGGGCCTTCTTTAGATGACAGTTAGTTTTGCTGTGCTTTGTTATCCGTGGAAAAATAGTTTGAAATCTCCAGTTCAGAGTCTAATTAAGAAAGCTACAAATATAATTTCAAAGCAATTAACCTTCACTGACTCTTCATGTCGCTCACAGTATGAATGTAAGAGCAGTATTTCCACAATGACATTTTTAAAAGGGACTTTAATTAAGGATCAACTCTGGAACCTTTCCTGCCAGAAGTGCTCTCATTATCTTCATTGGGATTTTCCTTTTGAGTAAGGACAGCTCACACAAATAAGACTTACAGGACTAGGCTAATGGTTATAACTGTTGTGGAACAAATCACTGGCTTTATTATCTACCTATACATTAACTTCACAGGTAATAAAATAATAGTGTATTAATCCTTACTTATTTTTTATCTTACAAAAGGGGTGACAAAGTGATCGAAACCTTCAACTGAACTGTCTCCTAAATAAAGCCTGAACGCTTACTGAGCCTGAAAACAAGCTGTATTGCTCTTATGAATATTCAAGCCCTTGTGCAGACTGAAATTCTACCAAGGGCAACAGAAAAGCTTGGGAAACTGTTCCATCTGAAAGCAACAAGGGTTAAAAAGCTCTCTAGAAAGCCTCTGCCTTGTGCAGTTTATAGCTCAGTAATGTCTGATGAATGTTTATCTACACCTAGTTTGGAAATGTCTTCAGCTCTGGCCCCTGTGAACTGAAATTTGAAGGGTGAGATCCTCTATAGACTGAGAAAGTCTTTCTCCTCTGAATTCCTCGTCGGATGCTATAGACCATGAAATAGCCTTGATGGCTATTCTGTGATATGGATTTACTGCTCATGTTCAGAAAGAAGACAACCTGGCGGACAAAAATTTTGGAGGAAGAAATGCCCATAAAGTGTGGGAGAGAAGGGTGGTGGGAGAGAGGGACAAGTCCTGCACTGAACTGCATGATTCATACCTGACAAGAGCAACTCCTGTGATTTTGGACATAAATTGAAACCTCCCTGGCATTGTTCTATTTTATGTCAGCCTCCAACTGGGATGTTGTAACACATAGTTACAACTACTTGAGATATTCTCAACCTTTCAATGCCTCCCACTCGTGTTTGCATATTTTTGTTCCCTTTGTCAGAGCGCCCTACCCCCTTGGTTATGGTGATACTGCTCTTTCTGGGGCTACTCTACAGACAATTTCACAGAAATGATCTGAGTATTTCAGTTAAGCAAAAGACAAAAATCCTGTGATTTTAATATTCAAAAATAGGTGAGGATTATTTTTGACCTTTACCACAGGCAATTCCACCCCAAAACAATGATATTGTTAGGGATAGTCCAGGACATCCAGAGGACTCATTTTGTTACTGCTTTTTTACCTTTGGTGAACTCTAGCATCTCTTCTGCATCCATATCTCCATGAGTAGTGTTGGAAAACACTGAAGGACATGTTCTTGGCCTACTCTAGTCATGGTGAGTTCTACCTCTCTGCTCCTCCTGCCCTCACATGCCTTGTACTGGCACAAGGGTGGGCAGGGCAGAACCTCTGCAGCTCTCATACTCACACATGTTTTAGGACTGCTTCAGCTGTTCTGGAGTAGGCAGAGTTCTTCATGGCAGTTATTATACTGAGGTGTTGACATCTGCTTCACAGACACATCTGGTCGTTCCTTCTCAGCCACATGAGATCAAAAGCTATAACAACACAATTGCTAAGTTTACAAATGAATGCAAATGGCTAAAGTGTTTGTTTAAATAAGTGGTTCTTATTTCTTTTTAAGGTTGCATAATGTTTGATTTTTGCGTTTCTTTCATTCAAGACTCATGAAAATAGAAGTGACTAAATGGAGAAAAGCTATTAACATATTTGTCAAAAAAAGTTGTTGAAATAACTACCTGTAGTTGCAGTATGACGTAGTCATGATAACAGATGGGCAAAATAACCTTATATCACAAGGAAAATAGATTAACGTTATTGGTGTTACCTGGATCAATGATGCTAATTTCCCAGATAAGATGATTCAGTTCTCAGTTGAATCCTATAAGAACTCATAGCTAAGTCAGAATGAAAATTACTGTGCTGTTTGGATTTCATAAGTTAGCTTCACAGTTCTTTTTCAATGCTGTCTGGGAGGTGAGATCTTGGAGAGGAAAGTCAGACATTAAAAGAAAATGAAACAAAGTGGGAAAAACACTAACTGTTCATTTTTGGTTTACTACTGGCTTTTAATTTGTTTCTGCTGCTACTAAAACAGCGTAAAACAGAGCTCCAGCTTCAGCTGGTAGTAGTGCTGTTCTACCTGCTTCAGAGTTTAGATTGGTTTTTTATCTAATTTCCTTAAGCATTAAGACTTATGTGATGACAGTATTTCCTTTTTGTCAAAGTTCTAATAATTATTATTTTACATACTGATTACTTTCAACTAAATTTGGTACAGGTGTAGCTGTCTCAAAGATAAGCACAGTCTTATTTACTTTGTGAGTATCAACAGCTTGAAATGGAATAGTGGCCCAAAATTGTGCCTGTACAGAAAAGGCAGTGGCCAGTGCACACAGTATATGCTGTTTAGTAGCAGCCTATTGGTAAATCGGCAGCACATGGTGGTCAGCCACTATGCATAAATCACATTACTTTCAGTAGGTACTGTAGGGAATAGGACTTTGGGAATAGTAGGGATGTAGGAGGAAGCCATTAAGTACAGCACTGAGTAGATTGTGGACACAGAAATGACCTGTGAGTATCTGGGTTGGAGTGAGAAAGGAGACATGAGATAGTAACCTCTAGAAAACCAGGTTTCATTAATTATGGTGCTTTTGGAGCAACTTGTCTTTGCCCTACACACCTCAAGCAACTGTAAGAATTCTTTAGCAGTATTTAACTGACAAGTTGAAACAGTATTTCTAAATACTTACATTGTTCGCATTTTTCTGGTGATTATGGTGATATGCTAAAATATCTTGTTTTCCTTGAGCATGTATATTGGGATTAAGAAATCTATGTAAAATATATTATGCCAGCCAATCTAATCATAGAATCATAGAATCGTCAAGGTTGGAAAAGACCCTTAAGATCATCGAGTCCAACCATTAACCTATCACTGCCAAGTGATAGTGATATAATCAACACAATATATTTTGTGCCTTTTTTTTTTGTTTAAGTTTCCTGGACTCATCACAATTCTGCCTAAACTATTGAACCTGCATTCATACATAACTACATAAGTAGCTTCTGAAAGCTAATTTTCTACTCTATTTTAGCTTCCAAGACCAAGCATAGGAGTATATAATATTTTCTGTTTCTAACATAGTATTTGATTTTCAGTAAGAGTGGTTTACCAAGTAGATGTTTCCATCTGACTCTTAATGGTAAAGCATGATAAAGAAGCCTGAAATAGAAATCAAATGTGTATTTCTACAGCGGCACTTTCAAATCTTATGCTTTTGCAAATTTTTGTGCAAGTATTTTGTAGTTTTCAGTGTATTAGCTAAAAGTGATGCTTATCATAATGAATGCTTAAATACCTTTGATCTTTCTCCAGGCTTCTCTAAGTAATTCTTTGTTAGGAAATGAATACTGTTACTGACATCATCTCATCTGGTGAATCATCTCACTTAATCTGGTGTCCTTGAATCTTCCTTGCACTTGCTCACATGCTGTAGATTTTTAGTGTGCTATAGAAAGTAATGGAACTCAATATTGGCTTTAAACATGCTACTACATATTCCTGAGATGCCCTTTGTTTGTATTTTTATATAGCTTCATCATACACAACAAAGATACTTTCTTCAATAATGCTACAAGAAGTAGAATTGTACACCATATCTTACAAAGAGTGAAATACGAAGAAGGGAAAAACAAAATTGGTAAGTGCTGAGCAATGTGCTTTTAAATGTGGGTACTAAGTCCCACCAAAAAAAGAGGAGAAGTCTGCCTGGGCTTGTAATAGACTCTTTTGCTTCCTTTTTAATCACCTCAATTTTGAGCTGTTTACTTCTCACCCACTGCTGTTGTAGGGGTTTTGCCTGGGAGACCTGATCATTTCGCTGTACTATCAGTCTGGTTTCACAGGCATATATGTCACCACATGGGATTTATCACCTCTGCAAGGAAAGAGACTGACTTAAGCGAGAAATATGTACAGATTAAGGACCCTGGAGAAGCAGATAGACTCACGCAGAAGAGCTTTTACTCCTTCATAAAAATGTATTTGGAAGGATGGCAAGATTTGTGCTGCTGTACATCTCAGCCTGTAGGGCTTCTCCCTGGATACCTGTCCATCCTTAAGGGAGATGTATGGTTCTGTATCTCTGTAGCTGCTGTAAGTCAAAAGGGAGTTCACCAATGATGTCCTCAGTGCAAAGGACGCCATGCATAACTATGGCATCACTTTCAAATAGCGAGTGGAATGGACCTTTGGAGCAGCACATATGTGTATCCAGGAGAGCAGGCAGTGACAGAGGAGGGCTGGAGTACAAAACAGTGTCCCTCTTCTGTCTTGTGAAACAGGGCACGTACTGCTTGTGTACCACATAGAGCCTGGGGCATCACAAATGGAGAGGCAATCCCCATAAAACTCTGCAGCCTATTTCATTTCCCTGCTGTTTAAACCCCGTCCTTCCTCAAGAGGTAGAGAAACATCCCAGAACGTCACTTGTTTCTTCCTCAGCTCTTGGGATGAGGGCAGCAATAGCTCTGAGCAATGACAGTGAACAGAGGGGAGAGAAGAAATGGAAGAACTCATGCGGTGCATGCAGCCATTGTATCTAGCACACACACTTGCAGTCCCTGCCTGCCTAAAGATCCCAAGCTCCCTCACATATCCACTTGTGTTGTACCTGCCATGACCACAACCTTGCATTGATCACTGGGCAGAGTTTCAGTTGCTTTACTGGCCTGCAGTTCAAAAACGTAAAGATCTTCCCTGGAGTTTTCCACTCCCAAGAAATACAGCCTTTCATCTAAATAGCTTCCTTAGACCATAATTTATGGGGTCAAATTTCAGTTCTGGTGTGAGGTCCCCGATTTCACTGAAGTTATGCTAAAGATGGATTTGGCAAATGAATCTTTAAACCTCCAGCATAATAAATGATAGATTATGGTTAATATTTGAACAAGTCTTTGCTTGTATTATATCTTAGTTCATCAAAATCTGTAAAAGATGATTTTTTCTACATGTATTTTTTACTGTCAATGGGCTTCAAGCTTCATTTAGCCAGCTTATTATGAAAATATGTTTTGCTTTTTACTTAGCAGTTTTTCTGGTCCTACTGGTAAATAATTGGATACTTTTGATTCTTAGGTCTGAATCGATTGCTCAGTAATGGCTCCTATGAAGCTGCATTTCCTCTTCATGAGGTATTTTTCTCAGTTGTTTTTTTTTCTTTTTGAACAGACATTTCCCACAAAATGAATTCTTAATTGTATAATCATTTATTCTCAATCTTATTAATGTTATTACTCTCTTTTGCATTCTGTGTCTGCCTCTGACATCCCATTTGGTACTGCTTTTTTCTTGGGAAAAAAATGCTTTTTTTCTTACAAAAAGGGATGAGTAAGGAGAGTTGTTCTGGATCTGTTCTGTAAAAAGTATTTGGGTTTGATAAATCAGTATGTTTTCAGAGGGGAAAAATATCATGCTGTGGTTTTCTCTTTGAGATTCTCCAGTTTATAGCCTGTGACTTGAACACCATTTATCATAAATTTCTTAGGAAGAATAATCTCAAGTCTTACTGAAGTTAGAGGAAATTGCCCTTTTAATGTCATATTTAGCTTTTGGTGCACAAGTATGGAGTTTGCATAAATTGTGTGTTCCGTACCGCTACTGAGAGAGATTTCTTAGATATTCTTTTTTGCTGCTGCTGTTCATTATAATGTCCAGATTTGTATTTTAGGGAAGTTACAGAAGTAAGAATTCGATAAGAACCCACGGGGCAGAAAATCACAGACACTTGCTCTATGAGTGCTGGGCCTCCTGGGGAGTGTGGTATAAATACCAACCACTGGACCTCGTGAGGTAAGACTTTCCTGCTTTTAGTATGTCACATTATAGCTGCTTTGAGCGTAGGTTATCTCTCTTCTGACAAAACCATGAAAAGCTCAGTTAATTCATGTGGTTTTTAAAAACTGATCCTGAGGTCATGGGAATCCATTTCATTCATGGTGCCACTACATTCAAAGAAGTATCTATAGAGGAGCTTGTAGGAGGAGCTGAAAGTGAAGGAAGTTTCCTTCTAGAATTTCCTGACACCATAACTCCTAATGAAGGGTTTGCAGAAGATTTAAGAGATTAAAAAAACAAAGAGAGAAATGTGGTTGCACATCTATCCACTGGAAGAGTTCTTCTTCCTCCTCAGAGCATGGTTTTGGTGAAAAACAGGCTCTCATCGACTAGATCATTTTTTTTTTCCAAAAAGCAACCACAGAAGGAGCCTTGGGTAAAGTTTAATGATGCTTTCAAATTGCATGGAGCAGAGCTCGTAGTCACCGAGTGTGCTGCTGTGTTCAGCACCTCTAGCAGTAGATTGGTGGAAGTCTCTCCTGTACCACCTCCCTTAAATTCAGCCCAGCCACATCACCACAGTCTGGATTTGTATTCATCTTGGAAGTAGCCTGCAAAGAAGAAACACAGAAAGCTGAGACATGACTCCAAATTCTTATAGCCCTTTCAAATAATGTTTTCAGGTAGGCTTGCATGGGCTAATAGAGGATTACACATTTTTTATGCATGTGTAGAGAGCCAGAGCCTTTACTGATCATGTTGTCAGAACTATTAGTGGGCATTAATGGGCTTTTTCTACCTGAAGAGAGGAATATGAAGCTACAAGGGCCTATTAATAAAGTCTTCAGATTACTGAAGATATTGATACATTGGCCATTGGGAAGGGTCATACCGTGCACGCAATTGGTCCAGCATATTAATTTCCCCTTTTTGTAAGTCCTGTAACTGATAGAAACCTTTGCTTTTATTGATTGTTTTCAGGTAGAAAGGTTTGTAGAGGGTGGCCCTGGAGACAGAAGGTGTTATTGATTACGACCATATAAAACCTACCTATTTCATAAAACAGGAGGTGTTCAATTTCCATGGAGAAATAGTTCACAGAGAAATACAATAAAAACATTTTACTGAGTCATGTGATTTGTAAAATGCTTTAGAAAACAAAGTAATGTATTTGTACCTCATAATTTAAGCCTGAAAGCTTCTTATTTCTAATATACTGGCCTGGACAGAAATAAGAAATTTTTCTCAAGTTACACTATGGAAATTGCTGATTTACTGAGGAGCCAACAGTTATACTGAAGATTTTATTTTTAATTTCCCAGTATACAATAAGATATTAATGTCACAGTATAAACAACTTATCTCTATAATGGTTTTTAATCATTTGTCCATGGTCATCAAGGTTACTATTCTTCATCAACATTTCTTGTTTGTGAAAGTGCTGTTGAGCCTATATCTGGGTTTTGGTTTAATTTGGTTTATGAACACGGACCATCAGGCATCTGGAAGGTTTTTTAAGTATGTGGATAAATGGTAACAGAATGAGCAAGGTTAGACACATGATTGTTCTGGACCTTGGTAGCAGCCTTCTTGAGTAGCCTGAGCTTGACGTTTAAGATTTTATAAGATGCTTTAGCTTTTTATCAGACAGTGAACATCCACAGATTTTTTCCACAACCATTTCACAAAAGGAAAAAAGCAATCAAACTAGCAGATTTTGAGGTCGTCAGTGTCCTGTGGTGGTTCAGAGTAGATGTTTATCCAGAGAAGAGGGGAGCAGGGGGAACTGTGAGGCTCCCTGAGCATTCACAGCAGCGTGAGTCTCGATAGCCATTGAGCTCAGCAAGGGTTCAAAGCTGCAGCCCCAGCCCAGCCTGCGATTTGCTGCCTGGAGCACACCCATGGCTGCAATGAATTCACTGAAGGAAGGGTGACAGGAAAGGGGAGGGAATGCCTTTTTCTTCTCACTTCACAGATGCTAGATCCCTCGCATTTCCTTAGCTCCTGCCAAATCTTTCCTGTATACTGCCACTCTCAGCAGCTCATGTCTAGTGAGCTGGATATTTTTCCTTGAAGAGCTGACAACACCAGCGAAACCTGTTGTTCATTTCACTCAGAAGTATCTCAGCGTGCATACTTTAAACAGAAGCTTTTTTAGTACCAGTTCTGCAGCAGGAGCAACTTTTTTGTTTCCTGTACCAACAGCTATGTGGGGTGTCCTTGAAGGGAGTAGTGTTGCCATCTGTACAAAAGGAGTGAATGGATATTAATTCTTCCACAGGCATCTGGCCAGATGCCAGACATTCCCCTTTACTATATGCTTTAGAAAGGCTAGGGAGTAAGTTAGATGTAGATAAAATAATTGTCTCATTAACAGATATGATATTTCCACCTTAAAGTCAAGTTGCCATAATGGTAAGCGGAATTGTTCATACTTTGGTGCTGTTTTATTTCTTCCTTCGCTGTTAAAATGAGGCCTTACATCTCCAGTGCTGTAAATTTGGTGCCTCCCAGATTTCATTTAATCTCATCAGCTGGCTGTTATGGAGATATTAGTCACTAGAAATAAATGAGAAAAGGTCATTTGAGGAGAATTGAGTGATTCTGCTTTCACTCTGCTTTGAAACACGTGGCAGTATGAAGGCACAGATTTGACACAATTGCAAAGGCACTCATTAATCAACAGATGTGGTACCATGATTTTAATTACACTTCGATTGGAATTTAGGATCCATAGTTACTTTAGAAGAATAATTTAAGATCCTTAGAATTGATAGCAATTGGAAAGAGGCAGGACTTACTATATTTATATTCTCTGGGACCACGTAAAACAATGGAAACAGTTGCAGTGATTCGTGGGGGCTTTGGATCACCTCCTTCACACTTCTGTGCATAGCTGGTTTCCTCTAGGTTGTGCACAAATTGTTCCTGCTGCTGCTTACGCATGCTATTTACAGGACAAAAAGGGAGTGAGAGAACTATATTTATAAAGCGATTGTAAAGCTACCTAAATGAACCTGAAAGCAAAAGTAATGCCTGCGTAACTTGCATTTTACTTGGTGTTTACATTAAATGACTTGATTGCAAGCTGACAACTCCCTTTCAGTCTCCTGTCAAGCCTTCCTCCCAGCCCCATTGCTCCTGACATAACATGAGATTCATGTGTCCAAGACACCTGTTGGAAGGCTCTTGCTCCCTCACAACTTGTTTCTGTGATGTAAAAAGTTCTGTATAGGATTTCATTCTGACCTGCAAAAGGATTAATGAAGATAAATAGGTTCTTGGCTTGAGTCCAAACCTGTCTATATTCTAGCTCCACGACTTGCTTCTAGGCATCCTGAAAGCAAAAGATTATATAATGAAGGACGTTAAACACAGAGGATTCCAATATCCCATTTCATGGGTCTGAAATCAGACTTTGTAGCTTAATACTTTTCAAAAATGTGCATTATTGATAAATACTGAGATTGAAATCTTGGCCCAGTTAAGTCAGTGATAGTTCTACCATTGGAATGGAGTGAGGGGAGAGGCAGTTCACCATTAAGGCAGGTGATATTGGAGGGCTAGTATATTTTCTAGCATAAAATTAAGAAGGTGAAATTATTTTTTTTGTTATTATTCTAATGGTACAGCATATATGAGGATAGGAGAGATGAATTATTCTATTAGGTGCTTGAGGTTTTTTTATGTCTCTGCTTTTTAGGTTAGTTGTGGAGGAAATTTTCTGTGGGAGAACTATCAAAGACACAAAACATTGTTTTCTGTTCTTATTAACAATCTGATAAACTGGATGGTAGTAACTTAGCAAAGTTAAAAATGCAAATGTTATCAAGGCTGGAAACTTTCAAAGAGGCCTTCAATGAGCAGAATGCTATTATTTGCACCATTAGATGGAAAGGCTCAACAGGATAGGAGATGAAATTTGTCATGAATGTTTGTCGGCTAGGGGGGTGGAACAAGGAAGCATTCATCCTGGAATGTAGGGAATGAAATAAAAAAATAAATCTTGATGAATGTTAAGCTTACTTCACTGCTTTGGACTATGTACATGGAGAAAAATAGGCCATAAATATTCAGTGGAAGTAAACTCAAAATGTGAGCTTGCTTTTTCAGTGGAGCAGGCACAGCTTGACATCCTAGGTGTCAGGAAAATAATTAGGCCAAAGGGTTCAGTAACGCTCTTAAGTCAGGGCTCAAAAAGTAGTTTCCAGTGTGTCTTTTTACAACCAGACATGCTGCTCTTGTCAGAACTGAGAGTGTTATCGTTAGCGTACCACCTCTTTAGCCTGTAAATTTGAGTCTCTGTTGAATGACAGAAGAATAAAAACAACATGACAATATTTGGTTTCTCACACAGTGCTGGTAAGCTCAAATAATAATAATCAGTGCAGGTCAGTATCATTCAGCAGAGCATGAGCTCAGCTCAGACAGATATTGCTCACCCTGGAAATTTTTTATATCCATTTGAAAACTGATGATTTTGTCCATTCCAGATCAAGTGTTTCTTTCTCTTCTCCATTGCCTCCAACCCTAGAGCCCAAAGATGTTTTCTGGTAGCATAAAGGAGCCAGCAGTGCTGGCTCACTGCATTCTTTGTCTCTGGACAGATCAGAAGTTTCATCATTAGCATAAAAGTGGGTTTTCATCAGCAGCTATTCTCAAATTCAGTTGATATGCAAGTTTAAGTTGTCTGCAAAGTCTCTGAAGTGCAAGAATATCATCTTGCCTCACTCTTTAAAACTAATCTTGCAAATAATCTCCTAAAATCTTCATTGTAATCATGATAATTGCATATTGATTTGTATAGCATCCTAATCTGATCATCAGCCTACTGTGCACAAAACCATCAAACACAGGATAATGCATGCAGCCTGCTCCTATGCTGATGAGTTCAG